CGGGCCCCCGCGCCGGGGGGCCCGCCCCCCTTGGTTAATGGCGAAAACTTAACCCCACGGTGAGCGGGCCCGGGCGCCCGGGCCTCGGCCTTCTCCGCCCGGGATCCCGGCTGCTTCTCGCCCCCTTCGCCCCCGCCCCGCCCCGGCGGGCCCCTCGCTCCCAGGCCCCCAGCGCACTTGCGAGGTGTCGGGGACACACGTGCCCAAGGCCGGGAAGAGCGAGGCCCGCTGCGGGGCCGAGGAGCGGCCTGCCGGTCACGGGGACGGCCATGTTCTTTCCCGCAGTGCTGTATCCTCGGTCTTTGCCGGCCGGAGCGGCGGGGGATGAGCCTCAGCGGAGAAAGACCCGCCCTTGTTTAGACCCCCAAGAAACGTGGAGCCTTAGTCTCCTGGCTTGGAGGTCTGTCAGGCGGCTCTCTCCTCCCAGGTCTTGGAAGAAAGCCTCAACGGATTCAAGTCGCTGTTTTGGTTCAAAGCAGCTTTGATAGCTTATGCCCCGTGGCTTAGCGCCCTTTCAGCCCTAATCATTGCTGGGAAGGTCATTGTTTCAGTGCTGCCTCTTAGAGATTCCCTGCATCCTTGGAGCCCCTGGTGGAAGAGGTTGACTAACTGGCTTGTCTATTTCTCCCTCCTGAGGCAGCAGCCTGTGGACACTGAGGCGATGCATCTCAGCAGCTCCAAGGGCAGAGTAGTCCTGGCTCCAGTGTCCCGAGGTCCTGATGTCCGTCAGACGACAAGAGCTCAGCTTGGCCAGGACCCCCCACAAAGAACAGTGCTAGGGGTGCTAACTGAGAATGGACAGTTCAGGAAGACCTGTGACCAGGTAATGATGAGAAGCGCTGGGGAAGCTGCTTGTTGAGAAGGGCTCTCCTGTCATGGTGGGAGGTGGATTTCTCTTGTAGCTTTATTTACAAACTCTCCTTGAGTATTTCAGCCCTGGAATCTGGATTATTGGGACATCGAATATTTTAACATCATCTTATTGGGCCCTTTTTACACCTAGAAATAGTGAGTAATTCTTTCCCCTCCAAAATCGAAGAAATAGGTCTTGGAACTATTTGGATTAAGTATATGTAAAGTCATTTACATGCTGGCTAAAAGGAAATGTGAATAGCCCCAAAGAAACTATAGAACTGGGGTTACTCCAGGTCAGAGTGGTGTGCAAACTGATCTAGACTGTGCCTGAAGCAGTCCTGGATAATTTTCACCTTGTTCATTGGAGAGTGTTTAAAATTAGGATTGGATCAGGCTAGACTAGATTTTTTCAAAAAGTGATTTAAAAGCAGACATCTCCCCAGTACTGATAAAGTGCAGTTGGCCATTAGATATTGCTTAACTGATTCCTTAGAATTAGATTGAAAACTAATTCAGACATTTAAATACAAAGGAGGGGTTTGGATCCTTAAGAATGGATTTTCAGGTTTAAAAAAAACAAAAGCTTTCCCAAGTCTGTTATTAGACAAAATCCTGATAACAGTGCTTTTTAAAGCCTTTTTGCACATTTGTAGTGGAATAATGCTGGCATTAGTCCAGTGAAGTAGGTAGGCTAGATATCATTTCCATTTTTAAAAAATACATATTTTTATTTATTGCTTTTAAAGAGAGAGAAAGGGAGAAAGGGGGGGGGGGGAGAGGGAGAAAGAGAAAGAGACATTGATTTGTTCCATTTATTTATACATTCATTGGTTGTTTCCTGTGTGTGCCCTGACTGGGCATCAAACACACAACATTGGCATATTGGGATGATGCTCTAACCCACTGAGCTATCAGGCCAGGGCTATCCTTTCCATGTTATAGGGAAAGAAAGGCCAATGGTGAGGCAGTGGGAGAAGGCATAGTAGAGGAGACCAGATTAGAAACCTCTCATCTACTGACCTAACCATTCAAGCATTTTTGTGGCATCTTATTAGTCGGAGAAAACTACCCAAAGTGATCTGTTTAAAGCTTTGGAAAAAATTCAGAAGTTGTTTTTAACAAACTTAATTTGTGTAGCAGCGTTTGCTTTTTTAAAATTAAAGTCTAAAACCTGGTTATTATGAATTGGCAGTATGCCTTTGCTGACAGGTCTAACCTCTTACATTGCCTGATACTACCTCTACATTTCCCTGCTTGCTTCTTTTACAACCTTCTTAGAAATCTATTTTACATCTCTGCTTCTCTCTTTAATGCTTCACAACCTCCACGTCAGTTAATGGCTTTGTATTCTATTTCCCTAAAAATATGAAAGCAACCAGAAGAGAATTTCCATATGCTTCCATGTGCCATATACTCTGTCACCCAGATCCTGCGACATGACTCACGTTTCTACTCATATGCAAGATGAACCCCTATTTGTGTAGTATACCTTACTCTTTTTTTTTTCTTCTCGGTTTTCTTTTCTCTACTGGGTCAAACACATAAGCAAATATAATTTTTCCATCTTAAATATCTTTCAACTACGAAGCTCTTTGCAGTGCCTGTCTCATTTATAGAAATATTTCTTTAGAGTTTGTTTGTCCCATCCTCCATTAGGATGAGAATTTGGGATGTCAGGTTCACTGTTGTATTCTTGGTGGTTGGAACAGTGCCTAGCCAGGGTAGCATGCTAGTGTTTGTTGAATGAATGCTCTCTGTCTCTAGTTCTTCTCTTGTTCACTTTTCACTCAATTTTTAGTCCTTTACACTTAACTGATCATTCTTTATTTCTAGCAATAATTTTATTCTCACTCAGCCTGGAGAAGACCACTCTGTCCTGGATTTTCACCTAGCTCATTGGCCACTCCTCAGTATTCTGGTTCTTCCTTATCCTGTGTCTCAAAATTAGAGTGCTCCAGGACTTAGTATTTGATCTGAGTTTGTACCCAGTCCCTTACACTCTTCAAGTCTTTTAACATTAAATGCCATGGCTCATACTTTTTATCTTCTGTCTTGACCTCTCAGCTATGTTGCAGGTTCACATATTCAGCAGCCTACTTGACAGCTCCATTTGGATCCTTGAATCATACAATAGGCACCTCAAATGTGTGCAAAACCAACCCTAGCCCCAACCTACTCTTCCCAAATCTTATCATCTCAATAAATGCGATATCCATCCTTCCTGTTATTCAGCCTAAAAAACTTTGTCATCCTTGACTCTTGTTTTCCTCTTACCTCACATCTATTTTGCTGAAAAAATACAATTGGCTTTACTTTTAAAAGTGTCTAGAATATCTTCATTTCTCATCTTTTACTAATACTACATTGGTTCAAAATCCTATTGTATTTTACCTGGAAATTTGCAAGTTCACAACTGATCATCTTACCTTACTTACTCTCTATACCTCTACATAGCCAGGGTGAGCCTTTTAAAACATAAATCAGATCGATCATCCTTTGCCCAGAACTCCCCAGTGGCTGCCCATCTCAGAATAGAAGATGATCCTTAAATGGCCTATAGTAAGGCCCTATATGATCTGGCTTCTCTTTTCCTTTTGCTTTCTCTTTTCTCTCATGACCTACATACACTACTGTCTTTCTCACTCTGCCCCATTTGTTTCTTGATGTGCCTCTTAAGACACACTTCAACATCAGGACATGTACCCAGGCTGTTCCCTCTGCCCAGAATGCTCTTCCCTTTTTTATCTGTGTAACTTACTCTCTTAGCTTGTTCATATCTTTGTCTAACTTTTATCTTCATAGGGGCTTTCCCTGGCCACATTGTTTAAAATGGCAATGACTCTCTTTTCTCTCTGTTATTCTTCTCCAAAGCACTTATCATTTGATCTCCTATGTCTTTTTCTTATTTGTCTTTCTCCTGTCCTCCCAATTAGATATAAACTCCATGAGGGCAGTTCGTTTTGAACGTTTGGTTCATTGCTAAATTCTGGGCACCTAGAACAATGTCTGGCACATACTGGATGCTCAGTAAATGTGTAATGAATGTATGTCTTGATCCATTTACTATATATATATACACACACACACACACACACACACACACATATATATATATATATATATATATATATATGGCAAAAGTCAAACATGGTAATAATTTGGAATTATGATTATCTGGTTATAGTAACTTGTATTTTTGGTCCTTTATAGTTCTTGTGATTTTACCAGAATTACCATAAAGAATTTTTTTCTTGCCTTGGCCAGGTGGCTCAGTTAGTTGGAGAGTCATCCCGTACACCTAAAAGGTTACAGGTGCTGTTCCTGGTCACAGTACATACCTAGATTGTGGGTTCAATCCTGTAGGGGAGGCAGCTGATTGATGTTTCTTTTTCTCTCTCTCCTCTTTCTCTCTTTCCCTTCCACTTTCTCTCTAAAAATCAATAAATGTATCCTCAAGTGAGGATTAAAAAAAGAATTTTTTTCTTACTAGTGTAGACATAAACTACATATTTAATTTACTAGATGGAAGGGAATGTATGGAAACACATAATTTGAAAGGAGTCTCAACAGTGAACACCAAGATCCTATATAATAAAGAGGTAATATGCAAATTGACCATCATGCCCTCACACAAGATGGCTGCCCCTGTGTGGGCACAAGATGGTTGGCAGGGGAGGGCAGTGGTGGGTGATCAAGCCAGCAGGAGAGAGAAGTTGGGGGTGACCAGGCCTACAGGGAAGGGCAGTTGGGGCAACCAGGTCTGCAGGGGAGGGCAGTTGAGGGGGACCAGGCCTGCAGGGCAGGGCAGTTGGGGGCGACTGGGCCAGTAGGGGAGGGCAGTTGGGGGTGACCGGGCTGGCAGGGGAGGGCAGTTGGGGGCAATTGGGCCAGCAGGGGAGCAGTTAGGCGTCGATCAGGCAGGGCAGAGAGTGGTTAGGGGGTAATCAGGCTGGCAGGCAGAAGCAGTTAGGGGCAATCAGGCAGGTGAGCGGTTGGGAGCCAGCAGTCCCGGATTGTGAGAAGGATGTCGGACTGCCGGTTTAGGCCCGGGGATCCCATAGTGGGGTCCAGATTGGAGAGGGTTCAGGCTGCACCAAGGGACCCCCCCCCACAGTGCATGAATTTCATGCACCAGGCCTCTAGTTAATTATATATGATAAAATGTTAATGCAGTAGCTAGACCTAGCATTTGCATAAATATAACTTGGATTCATAAAGCTTGCCCACCTGCGTTGGTTCAGCTGACCTTCAGGTCATCCAACATGACTCATCTTAATGTGCACTAGTATGTAATGCATCACAGTTATTCACAGAGGGGACACACACAGTTGTTTCCATCATTAATGTTATAGGAATAAAGAAAAGGGAGAAGCAATTGATTGACTGTTAGATTTCTCCATCATGTCATACAAAAAGATTCTATGTTAAGAGAATTTAGTAGTATGTGTTTCTAATATCATCATATTTCTAATTAACTGGGTATAAAATGGGAACTTTATAGGGGCCTGCTGACTTAAAGTTAACTGTTTGAGGGGGAGGACTGTAGGAACTCAGTAACTATGCATCAAAAACTGTGCTGGGTACTTACAAAATCCTGTAATGCTATATAAGCATGAGAGCCAATTTATAATCCCTTCTCCCCCCTTTCATTTTGAAGAAGAGTTATAGTTTCTTTTTTCTAGGATTTTTAACCCTTTGCACTCCGAACCATTCTGGACATTGGCTACCAGCTACTCGACGCTACTTTGCGGCGGAAACGTGCATTTACAGACCCTCGTATTATTTAGTATAATTTTGGAACCAAGTAACGTATTATAATGATATTGGACTTATATGAATTGGGTGACATCGAGGAATGTATATTTGCAAAAAAAACAATATTTTATTGTTTATAATTTTGTACAGTATGATAAGTTTTGTAACACTCCCCAATATGCATTGCAGGCTGATTAGTGCATGTTTGACAGTAATAAGTGGTTTGACGCCTGCCACCAGGTGTTTTCCTGTTAGAACACACAATGCAGTCCCGTTTTCTTTGTCCCACATCGGGAATATGTAGTTTATTGTTTAATCCGACACAAAACCCGCTGACATTTCTTGTATATATCTTAGTAATTTTACGATATTTTGATTTAATTTCTTGTGCCATTTCAAGATAAAACTTCAGGGAAACATGCATGTCTCAAAAAGTTGCGTTGAAATAACTCAATTCCCCGTAATCACTAATAAACTGCAATGTCCCCTGAGAGGGGACATCCGAGTGACATGCTAGAATTCCGATGTCCCCTGAGAGGGGACAGCGGAGTGCAAAGGGTTAATTCCCTTTGATAAATATGTGAGGAAGATGAAAAATTTTAGATAGCTCTTTTACCAAATGTCAAATGTAGAAAGAGATAAGGGAGAAGTCATACTTTGGAAGCTTCATTTTCTGAAATTATATTGCAGAAATAGATATTTCAATTTAAGATTCCTCTTATTTTCCCATCCTGCTGGTTTGAGTCACACAGGTTCACATCACCTATTGGTCTTTGGGGTGGCCTTTAACAAAAAATCCTTTTCTAGGGGATCACAACAGTTAGGTGTTTCTCTGGATCAGAAAATGTCTTCCCTCAAGCTGGAAAGAAAGCACTCTCTGACTGTGGGGTCCACATGCCAGCAAAGCAAGGATTTGATATCTACATGGATGAACCTGAGCAAGAGGACAAAAACAGCTGCAGTGGGAAAGAGGGGATGGCATTTGAAGATATGTATGAAGTAGACACTAGCACACTCAAGTCTGACCTTCACTTCCTGCTGGATTTTAGCACAGGTAATCTGACTTACCTATGGTGGATGATAGGTACCCTGTATTCATAATCACCTGCAGTATTCAATAGCATGTTATTAGCAAGAGAAAACCACGAAGTAATGACTGCTTATAGAGGGTTAGTGGATAGAATGAGTTTTTTTTTAAATTAAATCTTTATTGTTCATAATATTACAGTTATTCCTCCCCCCCCCATAGCTCCCCTCCATCCGGTTCCCACCCCACCCTCTGCCATTAAAACCCACCCGCCCCACTGTCCTCATCCATAGGTATACGATTTTTTTCCAGTCTCTTCCCGCACCCCCGGAGAATTGTCAGTCCACTCCCTCTCTATGCCCCTGATTCTATTATATTCACCAGTTTATTCTGTTCATCAGATTATTATTTTTTTGTTCATAATTTTTATCTTTACCTTTTTCTTCTTCCTCTTTTTAAAGGATACCTTTCAGCATTTCATATAATACTGATTTGGTGGTGATGAACTCCTTTAGCTTTTTCTTATCTGTGAAGCTCTTTATCTGACCTTTAATTCTGAATGACAGCTTTGCTGGGTAAAGTAATCTTGGTTGTAGGTTCTTGCTATTCATCACTTTGAATATTTCTTGCCACCTTCTTCTGGCCTGCATAGTTTCTATTGAGAAATCAGCTGACAATCCTATGGGTACTCCCTTGTAGGTAACTGACTTTTTTTCTCTTGCTGCTTTTAAGATTCTCTCTTTGTCTTTTGCTCTTGGCATTTTAATTATGATGTGTCTTGGTGTGGTCCTCTTTGGATTCCTTTTGTTTGGGGTTCTCTGTGCTTCCTGGACTTGTAAGTCTATTTCTTTCACCAGGTAGGGGAAGTTTTCTGTCATTATTTCTTCAAATAGGTTTTCAATATCTTGCTCTCTCTTCTTCTGGCACCCCCATAATTCGGATGTTGGTACGCTTGAAGTTGTCCCAGAGGCTCCTTACACTATCTTCGTATTTTTGGATTCTTTTTTCTTTTTGTTTTTCCGGTTGGGTGTTTTTTGCTTCTTCATATTTCAAATCTTTGACTTGATTCTTGCGATCCTCTAGTCTGCTGTTGAATCTCTGTATAATATTCTTTATTTCAGTCAGTGTATGCTTAATTTCTAGTTGGTCCTTTTTCATATCCTCGAGGGTCTCACTAGATTTATTGAGGGTCTCACTAAATTTATTGGTGGTTTCTAGAAAATTCTTGAAAAACCTTATAACTGTGGTTTTGAACTCTATATCCAGTAGTTTGCTTTCCTCCATTTCTGTCATTTGTGACCTGTTTCTTTGTCTCCGCAGTTTTTATGCTTCCCTGTGTTGGTAGAGTGGCTTTGTGTGCTAGGTGTCCTATAGGGCCCAGTGGCTCAGCCTCCCCAATTCCCTGAGGTGGACACTCTTGGTGCACCCCTTTGTGGGCTTTGTGCACAGTCTTGTTGTAGTTAAGCCTTGATTGTTGTAGGTATCACTGGGAGGAATTGACCACCAGGCCAATTGGCTGTGAGAATCAGCTGTGTCTGCAGTGGGAGAACTTCTGTGCTGGAGACACCCTTCTGGGGCAAGACTTGCTTCAGTGAGGCTTTGGTGCTCACTGAGTCTGCCCCCTGAGTGTGTCCCTTATAGATCTGAGGAGTTGTAATCTGGATGGTCCCACTTTGACTACTGGGTACACTGGCTCTTGGATCTCTAAGGAGGTGCTAATTTAGTCTCTGCCTGAGGCTACCCAGCAGGAGCTACGGAGAGATCTGCAGATTCCTCTTCTTTGTTTGGGGTTTGAAGGTGCCCAGATGGGGCCCAGCTGTGAAGCAATGCAAGCTGCTGTGGGGCCTTGGGCCTTCTTTTGGATGTTCTAGGTCTCTCTGACCCAGCTGCAGTTTGTTAGGTAATTTTAGATTGCAAAGGGCCAGGCCATTCATATGCAAAAGCCTCTGCACACAGCTTGGGTGGGGTGGGGTCTCAGGGAATCAACAGGGCGGAGCAAACAGCTATGGCTGATCCTCAGCCCTGCCCTAAGAGGCCCCAGGTCTCAGTGTCCGGGTAATCTCTGCAAGCACCTCTGAGAGAAAGCCGCCCTCAACTTCCATTCAATGCCAGACAGTCCAGTTTCTCCCCGTATGAGACTGGGTCCCCAGAGACTCGCCCGGAACTGGAGTTCAGAGCAGTCGGGAACTTGAGACTCCCTCCCGATTGAAAAAGAGAACCACATCCTCAGTTGCCAGTCCTTTTAGCGTGCACCTCTGTACCTCTGCACTTTACTTCTGCACCTCCTCTGAGTCTCAGTGTGCTCTTCTCTTTCTTTCTAGTGGTAGAATTTCCACTCAGCCAGCCTTCCTGTGGTTCTGGATGATGTCCGTTTTGTCTTTTAGTTGTATTTTTGAAGTGGTTGTGCGAGGCAGCAATTTCCGGTGTTTACCTATGCCGCCCCGCCATCTTGGTTTCTCCAGAATGAGTTTTTAAATTAAATGTCTTACCTAATAATGTTGAATCCCTGCAGTTTCCCCTATGCTGGTAGAGTCATCTCTTCATGCTCAGTCTGAAGATGCATCAGATTTTGGTACAGACATGATAAATGTGACTGAATATGCTGAAGAAATTCATCAGTACCTTAGAGAAGCTGAAGTAAGTTTTCCCAAATTCTACTTCAATTGCCAGCACCCAAAGCACTTAATATTAAATATTAAGATAGTTATAAACTCTTGGCCATAACCATTAATGAATGGCATTCTTGTGACATCTAAATATAAGAATATCTATTAAAAATAATAGCTGTGAGGTGAGTAGCAATTACTTGGACTATTCCTCTATGACACAAATGGTTTATATATTAAGCATTTCACTCTTAGGAATAGTCCATGTTGCCATTTCCCTCCCTCCGTTGTTTGTTACGTAATTGCATTACAGAACCAGAATTTCACACTTTCTTTTGTGTCATAGTAAAGATTTATTTGTGTTTTGATCAGTTTCCTTCTAACCTTTGCTCATGAGATTTTTAAAATAGCAGCTATACTGTGGCATGATCTTTCTGATACAGCAAGTATTTAAATATCAAAACTCTTTCCCCAAACAGATACGATACAGGCCCAAAGCCCACTACCTAAGGAAACAACCAGACATCACAGAAGGCATGCGAAGGATTCTGGTGGACTGGCTGGTTGAGGTTGGAGAAGAATATAAGCTTCGAGCTGAGACTCTCTACTTGGCTGTCAACTTCCTAGATAGGTTTCTTTCGTGCATGTCTGTTTTGAGAGGGAAATTGCAGCTTGTAGGTACAGCAGCTATTCTTCTGGCTTCGTAAGTGTTCTTCAGCTTAAATAATGTGAAACTACAGTCTGTCAAAACACATGATTTATTCCTCATTTATTGAAGAAATGCAGTACTTAAAATTTACTCATGCCTTTTTGATAAAATACCATCATTTTTATAGTATTTACTGAGAAACTGAACCTTACCACATGTTCACTCTTCAATTCAGATGCTTATGATACAGTTTCATGACCAAAGCGGCCATCAGCTCAAATTCAGCATGCAATTTAACTATTTTGTGGTGTAGTCTTTGGCTGTATTCTAGTATAAGTAAAAGTCCTATTTAAGGAAATTTTAGTTATATGGAAGTCATCTTCATGATCTGTTAAATGATCCATAATACCACAGTTTATGTGGATACAGTGAATAAATTATTCACTGTTCCTGTTACTATCAATCATTGATAATAATATCTAATTATGTGTAAAAGAGCTGGATTGTTGCTGCCTTTAATTAAGTGACCTATTGGTGAGTAGTAGTTTTCCTTTCTATTCTTCTAGTCTCAGATATTCTAGTTATTAATGCCTAAAAACTTGCCAAAATTTCCCTACAAAAGGAAAATAAAAGCAAAGAATTGATAGCAGTGAAACTGTATCATTATTATTCTCTTGGATATATAGCATCATTTGCTAATTCAATAGAGAAAGCTAAACATAATGTTTTTAAAAATCTAAGACTTAAGGAGTTTTTTTCTACTATGTGTTCAACATAACATTCTTTCCCACAAGAAGATTTTAATTAAGAGGAGTTGACATGTATGTCTGTCATTCAGAATCTTTCAGTATATCAGAGGCCAAAACTAAAATTCTTACTGGAAATTGTTTCTGTTACTACCTAGCAGTTAGTACAACATATCTTTGTAATATTCATATTCTTGTTCTGGAAACAAATTCCTAGTATCTTCACAGCCCTATACCATTTAGTGATTTTTTTTAAGTCTGCAAGGGTCATATGAGAGGCAGGGTTTTGATAGCACAGGAAGGAGAGCCACAGGTTCCAAACATTATTTCCAAAGATTCTTTACCTTTCATAGGAAATATGAAGAAATATACCCACCTGAAGTAGACGAGTTTGTCTATATAACTGATGATACTTACACAAAACGACAACTGTTAAGAATGGAACACCTACTCCTGAAAGTCCTAGCTTTTGATCTGACAGTGCCAACTACCAATCAGTTTCTCCTTCAGTACCTAAAGAGACAAGGAGTGTGCATCATAACTGAGAACCTGGCCAAGGTATGCCATGTGACTGCCAAGAATGTTGGTGCCAAATTGGGTAAAAAGTAGCCTTTCCAATCATCCTTTAGTTCTTCTTTCCTTTTTAGTTTGTTGTTGTTTGTTTTTTTTGTTGTTGTTGTTTTGTCGTGGGCTCAGAAAAACTTTTAGCAATGGAAGAGAGCTAATTTTAAGAACCCAACTTTGGGTTAGGAGACATTACTGTTGATCATGTTTGGTAGGCATGGGTTGTCTAATGACTCAACTCTTAAAGAAACTTAAGCTTGGGAACTGTTCCCGTGTTAGATACAGACCACATGAAAGCAGTATTCTTAGGTGTACAGAATAGGGACAAAGTAAATGTGATTTGATTTGACTCTAATCTCCTCCAAACATATTAAGTAATGAAGCATTATTTAGTCATTTGGAGTAAAGAACTTAGTTGAAGGCACTAAAGTACATATTGGTTTGGAAAACTTGGTTTCCAACCACTATGATTTAGTATATCTGGTATTTATGTGCTATGCAAACAGTGATAAGAAAATCTATGTAAATTTCCAAATATGTTTCTTCTAATCTGATAGATTCCCACTGGTTCTAGCTCTGAACTGCATGATTTTGCCTGATATAAATAGCTTTAATATGCTCATAGTTTGCCTTTGGCTTAAGTCTATAGTCCTACTCCAGTGGCCAGAGCAATGCTACTTTATCTGACCAACATAAACCTATACTACTAGTATCACATAAGTAACCCATCACATATACTGTGTGTATTGAAATTTATTACAACATAAATATTATTCTGTTTGTGGACAGGCCTGGTAGTTATTAACCTAGTGAATAATTTGAATAAAAATAAGACACAATTGTTTCCCCTGACATTTTTTTTTTTTGAGAGAGAGAGAGAGAGAGAGAGGAGAGAGAGAGAGAGAAAGGGAGAGAGAGAGAGAATAAGGTGGAGAGAAGAAGAAACATCAGCTGCCTCCTGCAGGCCCCCTACCAGGGATTGAGACCACAACCTGGGCATATGCCCTGACCGCATGAATGGAACTGGCAACCTCTTAGTGCACAGGATGACGCCCGACCACCTGAGCCACACCAGCCAGGGCAATTCCCCTGACATTTTTAACTTTACTTGTAACTTTAGTCGAATTCCTAATTCCAATGAGCTTTTTCTTTCTTGTTTTTAGTATGTAGCGGAACTGAGTCTACTTGAAGCTGACCCATTCTTGAAATATCTTCCTTCATTGATAGCTGCAGCAGCTTATTGCCTGGCAAACTATACCGTGAACAGGCATTTCTGGGTAAGATTCTAATTACTTTTTAAAATTCAAGGCCTCTCTAAAATTCGTTCAGTAACTCCTTTTAAAAAAACATATTTTATTGATTTTTTACAGAGAGGAAGGGAGAGGGATAGAGAGTTAGAAACATCGATGAGAGAGGAACATCGATCAGCTGCCTCCTGCACACTCCCTACTGGGGATGTGCCCGCAACCAAGGTACATGCCCTTGACCAGAATCAAACCTGGGACCCTTGAGTCCGCAGGCTGATGCTCTATCCACTGAGCCAAATTGGTTAGAGCCGTTCAGTAACTCTTAAGGCTTAGAATAGGCTGGCCTCTTACGAGTCTTGCCAGCAGACTATAACAGCCTTTGTTTGTGGCTTTGACTCAGTGGCTTTGCTTTATGGAGACTAGAGATTGCAGGAAGTCAAGAAGATAGTGTTGACATGCTCATTTAACAGAAGCAGGCCTGGAAACCTCAATGCCTGCTCTCATGCAAGGAGGACCCTTGTAGTGTAAGCATTGACCACTTCAAGAAAAGTTGTTGACTTTTCCCCTAAAAGTTGTTCACAACCTGGGTCCAATTAAGATGATCAGAAGGTTGGATTATGCTTTCAAGGGAACAGGGCATTTAATGTTGCCTCTTGGCCCAAGAAGGTGGTAAGATTGGAAATGGGCACTAGGTTTGATTCTGAAGGCTCGCTTGTATGCTGAAAGAAGTGAGGTGGCTACTTTTATTTTGTTTCTTTTTCTGTGTTTGGCTAAGAATCTTTTATATTCAATATAAATAGGGAGTTTAGTTAAGTACATTATAAATGTACAATATGAGCAAATTTAGAACTCTGGTTAATATTTTTGTCTAAAGTCTCTAAAGAAGGATTATGTTGTCTTTTGAAATAAATATGAATACCAAGTGATTAATTTCCTTTGTTTCACAGCTTTATCTTCAGCTTTCTCATATCTTAAAAAGTTATATGATGCAATTTTTCTTTTGTCTTGATTAGCCAGAAACCCTTGCTGCATTTACAGGATATTCATTAAGTGAAATTGTGCCTTGCCTGAGTGAGCTACATAAAGCATGCCTTGATATACCCCATCGACCTCAGCAAGCAATTAGGGAGAAGTACAAGACTTCAAAGTAAGTTCCTGAAATTTTCTTATCTAGACTTACTCTTTAAAGCTTCAATAAGTCATAGTAATGAACAAACTGTATATCTGGTGCTAGACTGGAGAAACAAAGTTGTATGTTAAATTAAGAAAATCAGTTGAAAACAAACAAAAGAAAACAAGCAAAAAAGAAAATCCGTTCAGAGAGATATCTACACTAATAAAGGACAAACATGCAAATTGACCGTACCTTTGCTAAGCCTTAAGCCACGCCCACCAGCCAATCAGAGCGACTATATGCAAATTAACCCAACCAAGATGGCGGCCGGCAGCCACGGAGCTGGAGCGAGCAGGAGGCTTGGTTGCCCCAATGATGGAGGAAGCCAAGCTTCCCGCCTGCTGCAGCCAGTTCTGAGCTCCACTCAAAGCAACAAAATTTTAATTATAGAAGGTAAATAAACCCCAGATACCTGCTTTCAGCCGGCCGTGGCCACGGAGCTGGAGCAAGCAGGAGGCTTGGTTGCCCCTGGCGATGGAGGATGCCAAGCTTCCCTCCCGCCTGCCCTGGCTGGCTCTGAGCTCCTCTCAAGGCTACGAAGTTTCAATTATAGAAGGTGAATAAATCCAAGAATTAAAAAAAGAAAAGAAAAAAAGGAGAGGCTGGGAGCTTCCATTGCTGGGGGGGGCTTGGCCAGCCTGAAAACGGCCCTCAGCCCCTCACCCAGAATGACCAGGCACCCCAGTGGGGACCCCCCACCCTAAATGGGGTGTGGCCAGCCTGCAAACAGCCATCAGCCCCTCACCCAGGCTGGTCAGGCACCCCAGTGGGGACCCCCACCCTGAAGGGGGTGTGACCAGCCTGCAAACACCCATCAGCCCCTCACCCAGGCTGGCCAGGCACCCCAGCGGGACCCCCACCCTGATCCGGGACACCCTTGAGGGCAAACCAGCCGGCCCCCACCCGTGCACCAGGCCTCTATCCTATATAATAAAAGGGTAATAATCAAACTGACCCTAACAGCAGAACGACTGGGAATGACTGGTCACTATGACACACACTGACCACCAGGGGTAGATGCTCAATGCAGGAGCTGCCCCCTGGTGGTCAGTGCGCTCCCCCAGGGGGAGCTCTGCTCAGCCACAACCCAGGCTGATGGCTGCCAGTACAGTGGTGGTGGTGGGAGCCTCTCCCGCCTCCTCAGCAGCGCTAAGGATTTCCAACTGCAGCTTAGGCCTGCTTCCCGCTGGCAAGTGGACATCCCCCGAGGGCTCCCGGGCTGCCAGAGGGATGTCTGATTGCCAGCTTAGGCCCAATCCCCTGGGGAGCGGGCCTAAGCCAGCAGGTGGTCATGCCCCGAGGGGTCCCAAACTGCAAGAGAGCACAGGCTGGGCTGAGGGACCCTCTCCCACCCCCGAGTGCACAAATTTTTGTGCACCGGGCCTCTAGTAGATTTATAATTAGCTTGTGGTATATAGAGTCAGCTAGCTTCCTTCCTTTTTGCTAAAACTACTAGAAAGTTTTCTGTGGCCTGAGATTTTACAAAACTGAAGTCTTTGCCTTGTGATGAACTTGCTTTGGGTCTCATTTCAGGTACATGCATGTGTCTCTCATGGAACCACCTGCAGTTCTTCCTCTGCAATAAGTTTCACAACTGAAGCACTTTCAGAACTTAACCTCCAGATCAATAAGATTGGTCCTCATTTTTATAGGTTTCTGCAGGTTGAATCATCTAGTGTTGGTACAATATAGATGACATATTTTTAAAAATATGAATGTATTTAGGTTCTCTTAGATTTAGTAGTTTGTAAAATAGTCTAACATTTTGAAAGAATAAACAACTTGCCTTATGGCCATGTGTCAGGTGTCAGGTTTATTTACTAATTATCGTGGCTGACACACTTGCCTGAATTTTAGATGAGAGTATTAAAAATGTCATCTCAATTTTAAGAATTCTTCTAAGTTGGTTTTACTAGTAAAAATTTGGCATGTGTTAGAAAAAGCATATTTTACCATAGGATGGGACTTCAGGATAATTAAACTAACCTTTTATGTTTATGTCTTAGGAGATGCCCATGCTAAAGTCTGCTCTTGCTCACATTATTCACGATTCTACATTTCACCTCACTACATATTTATCTATGGCTCCTGCCAACAGCACTTAAGTACTGTATAAGATGGGGAACATTCAAAAAATAAACAAACACTTAATTTTCTTTTAAAGATTAGAAGGAAAATCAAGAGTAGACTTGGCCTTAAAGGAAGGTGTTGCTTAGTGGGGATATATAAATTTTGTTAATCTCAAGATCAGTAGTCCTGGCCCTGGCCAGGTAGCTCAGTTGGTTAGAGTGCTGACCCATATGCCAAGGTTGTGGGTTCGATTTCTGGTCAGGGCACATACAAAAATCAACCAATGAATGCATCGATCTGTCTCTATATATCAAAAATGAATAAATAATTAAAAAAAAAAAAAAGATCAGTAGTCCTGGACCAGTAGGCCTTGGAGACACTGTATGTGTATCCTGTCTCCAGGCCTGCCCAGGGCTCTGCGGAGATAAGAACAATGGGAAGTGTTTTCTAGATTCCTTATCATAGAAAAAATTAGACCCAGGTAGGTTTTGGTAACATGGAAGTAGATGAACTCCAAATTTTATGTTAGTTACAAGCTCTAATGAAATTATAAATATAAAAATACAATCATATATTACATATTTTGTGAAGACTTTTTAAAAAGTACCCATAAACTCTTACAAGTTTTTGTCATTGCCTTTTTTCCCACCTTTCCGATTAATATTGTCAAGGTGTCTCCATTTCTGGTTCCATTGAATAAGTCAACATTTCACTAAGTGTTTTGTGTGCCATTACCTAAGTTTCACAAAGGGGATACAGGACCTATATCAGTGTTATTATGTTATGTAATCAGCAATTTATAATCTAGCATTCTAACTTATGAGTGGTTTGTTTCTGTTCACTGCATGTATGTGATTACCTTTCCAACTATCCTTTTGCACTTAGCAATGTAACAGACATACTATATATTCACCATCAAATTACCCCCTCCTGAGGGGACAGAGGCAGAGGCCAGTTCTGGTTGAGACTTTAGTGCAGCGGTTCTCAACCGGTGGGTCGCGACCCCTTTGGCGGTCGAACGACCCTTTCACAGGGGTCGCCTAAGACCATCCTGCATATCAGATATTTACATTACGATTCATAACAATAGCTACATTACAGTTATGAAGTAACAACAAAAATAATTTTATGGTTGGGTCACAACATGAGGAACTGTATTTAAAGGGCCAGAAGGTTGAGAACCACTGCTTTAGTGGTAGAAGTGCTGTGTCTATCCCTTTTGAGCTTCAAAGACTTGAGGGATTGGCTAGGGAAGCTTCCTCTCATTTTATGCCAGTTTACCCTGGCTGACCACCTTCCTGTGAAACGTGCATGTCTCCAACAGTGCCAATTTTTATCTTGACACAGTACATTTTCTTTCACTATTAATATTTGTGTTTTATGATGTTTGCTTCAGTTAGAAGGTACCTTGTAGAAATTGGTACTTCATTGTAAGTTATTTTGCAAAGGAAGCACTTATCTCTAAATCCCTATCCAAAATTTAACCTTAACATCAGGTCACGAAACCTCACTACAGTTGTCCGTTGGTATCTGCAGAGGACCCCTGTGCACACCAAAATCCTTGGATGCTCAAGTCCCTTATGGAAAATGGTGGATGTACTTGCATATAACCTATATTTGCACATAGGCCACACCAGGGTCTTCCTACACATCACTTCATTTATATGAATTCAGCATAGTACTTGGCACATGGCAAATTCAAATTTTGATTTTTGGAGATTTCTGGGATTTTTTTTCAAATATTTTTGATCTATAGTTTGTTGAATTTGCCCATGTGAAACCTGTGGACACAGGGCCAGCTGGATCAGATACAGAGGTCCAAACCCATAACTCTTATGTTCTTTGCTGCCAGTGATTTGCACATACCTCATTCTCACCCCCCAAAGGCACCCCACCTGATTGCAAAGAACTGGGCTTCAGCTTTGATGTTCTTACTACATTTTTTGTGTCCTTGTAATACTTAAAAATATAACTGTTACCTGTGCATCTCCCACCAGTTTAAGAAAAACAGCCTTCAGTGTGTCCCTTCTTATATCTCATTATTTTTCTTCCCTGTATTTGGTGTTGATTGTGAGTGTGAGGACAGGAAAGGGGCCTATTTTTTCTTGCTATAGCCTTCCACATTTTATGAGAAGCCCCTAATAATTAAACCCCAAGATTGTTAGCTCCTTTTATTCAAACAGCATCCCTGTTCAAATTGCAAGACAAATTAAGCTACTTTCAAGGCTCCATTCTTGTATATCCTTCCTCCCTGCTATTTTCACAACTTGGGGATAATTTGCATGAAGAAATCTCTAGTTAGTAGAAAGTTCCCTTCCTCCCTCCTCTTCAAACAAGCCTCTTTGGAACATTTCATAACTTTTACTCTAAGCATGTTTTACAGGCTTGGGAAAAATACTGATAAGCAATCCTCCCTAGGGCCCTAACCGGTTTTGCTCAGTGGATAGAGCGTTGGCCTGCGGACTGAAGGGTCCCAGGTTCGTTTCCAGTCAAGGGCATGTACCTTGGTTGCGGGCACATCCCCAGTAGGGGGTGGTGTGCAGGAGGCAGCTGATCGGTGTTTCTCATTGATGTTTCTAACTCTCTATCCCTCTCCCTTCCTCTCTGTAAGAAATCAATAAAATATATTTTTTTTTAAAAAAAAAAAAAAGAAAAGAAATCCTCCCTAGGACATCTGACAGACTGTCTCAGCCCCAAATTCCCCTCCCTTCCTTGTCACCTAGCAACAGCAGCTATTGTGGCTCCAGACACCCACTGAGCAACTGGTAAAAATAACTTTCAGTGTTTTTAACAACTGAGGCAGGACAGAGGAAGAGCAAGAAAGCCACCCCATAGAAACAAACAGTTCAGTTTAAAACTATATGTCACCTCAAGGTTTTGTGTCCCCTCTATTGCAAGTTCAACCACTGGAAGACGGACTGTCTCAGGGGCTAGAAGGTCCCAGGATCAGAACCTAACCACACAATGGCCTTGAACTGATGGAGCCCAATGCTCCAGTCAGCCCCCACTAAGAGCATCACCTATGAATGGACGGAGCCAATGAGGGACTACTTGCTCTGCTCTGACTCTTTTACCAAGGCCTCTCTTCCATAACCTGTTTGATCACTGGGGTGAATGGGCATCCTTAATGTTACCCTTTCACTCTGCCCCTTCAACTACAACCCTAGGAATCTTAGAGGCTCTAGGGAGGAGTACAGCCCCTCCCCTTATAAAGGAAAGAATGTGGCACTTTTGAATTCAAGCAGCTGGAGGCCTGGGAGCTGCAGTCCTGGGAATAAACTGCAGGGCCTGGTCCCACCTCCCTCAGCCTTTTCTCCAGCCTCCTAAAAGTTGTCAAGGTCATGTTATCCCTGTTACAAATTTTATCAAGAAAATGGCCTGAATAAGGATTGACTTTAAAATCTCATAGAATTTTTAAGATAATAAATAAATATAACTAAAATGAAGGGTTTTTGATAAAGCTTTTCAGTAATACTTATATATGCCTAAACATAGTTTTCCAAGGTCTTTAGTAACTTAAAACTTTGAAGCATTGCTAGGTTAAATGATACTGTAAAGTTTGCCGAAGGAGGAATACACAAGGCCAAACGTGGTAAAGAATTATAAATTTACTAGTGGCCAGGTGCACAAAATTCGTGCACATTAAAAGGGAATTAATTACAGGAAATATTTTAATATTGCTATTTGCCCTTTCTCTATAACAGAAGTGTCAGAGATGAAAGAAAATTAGTAAAATGTATATGAAAATCTTCCTCCTGTTAGAGTCTGGGGCATGCCGTGGGACCCAGAGTCAAGTCCCTGCCCACTCGCGTGCACCTCGAAATTGTGCAAGACCCAGACCCAGCCGACCCCACCCCCATTAGGCAAGATCCAGACCTGGCCGGCCCCACCCCCGTCAAGACCTGCTGGGTGCGGGGGCGCAGTCTCAGGTCCCCTGGCCTGGTGCCAGGAAGGGAGCGCAGCCTCAGGTTCCCCATCAAGCCCCGGCCGGGGGAAGGCGCAGTCATGAGTTCCCCGTCAAAGGCCTGTGGGCGGGAGAGGACAAGTCGGGGCCCCCAA